CCGCCAAAAGATACTGGGTTTTTGTATATTATTTGCCCAACTGGACCGCATTGCAGTTTTGTTTCTATTCTTGACTTCAGGTGTAAAAAATTAGACCTTCTATCAATTAAAAACCTTGTAATTTCAGTGTTTCAGAAATTGTAACCCGATATTTCACATTCGAAAACTTCACCGTTCAGATGAGCGGAAATCATATATTGTGGTGTTTGAGACATTGCGAAAACTGTATTAAAGAGATTAGTGGTTGAGTGTTTGAGAGTTTGAGTGTTTGAGTGTTTGAGTTTAAAGAGTTGAAAGACTTTATTAAATAGTCTAAGTGTTTGAAAATCTCTCCCGTGAATTGATTCCCTGGATTGCAGCGTGCTTGATGAGACGGGACAATGCAAGACTCTGCATTTCACATGTGACCCTGCATGGCTACAATGACCCTGCAGGCCTACGAGATTCTGTCCCTGCATGCAACATGTTTGATAAGACGGAACAATGCAGGAATCCGCTTTTCACATGTGACATAAAAAAGAATCTGTTTTTTACATAGTTGGTTATTTGCATACGTGTTAGACTAAACAATAATAATAAATCTACATACTGCATAAGTTATCGTCCATCAAAAAAACCATATGTTTTTAATTTAGAAAAAAATTAATACGAAAAAAATCACACAACGGTTAATAAAATAATTAACCTAAAAAATCAACGACCTGCATTTCACATGTGACACTGCATGGCTACATTGACCCTGCAGGCCTACGAGATTCTGTCCCTGCATGCAACATGCTTGATAAGACGGGACAATGCAGGAATCTGCTTTTCACATGTGACCCTGCATGCAGCATGCTTGATAAGACAGGACAGAGCAAGACCTTGCATTTCACATGTGACCCTGCATAAAAAAGACTCTAATAGTATAAAATCTTTTTATATGTATTTCAATTAAATCCATTTAACAATTTTAAGAGGTGGCATAAATTACATGTATTTGGATACGTATTACACTAAACAAACTATGCGTTTTTAATTTAAAAAAACAAACATAAAACAATCAATGCAAGGATCTGCTTTCACATCTGATCCTGCATGCCTATATTGACCCTGCAGGCCTACGAGATTCTCTTTCTGCATGCAGCATGCTTGATAAGACCAGACAATGACCCTGCATCAGTACACTTGTCTCGCATGCGTTTACACCACACATGCATCAGGACACTTGCCCAACATGCATTTACACCACACATGCATCAGGACACTTGTCACGCATGCGTTTACACCATACATCCACTCGTGGAATATAAATATAGGGTCTTCACTCAACAAATTCTGCTCACACTTAAAGTCTCCAACTCTCAAACCCTCAAACTCTCTAAGTCTCAAACTCCCAAATTCTCAAAACTGTAAAACTCTCAAACCCCCAAACTCTCTAACTCTCAAACTCAACATCTCTACATAACGACAATGTCTTTACTCACCATGGGAGACTCTCATAGAGGCACCACTGAAAACATCGCCGAGTTTGTAAGTTTTTTGTTCTTACGTATGTTTACAATATTATCTAATAAAACGTTAATTATTTTAGTTCTTGTCTAACGAAACATTAATTATTTTGTAGGATGTATCAAGGTTTCGATGTCGTGTGCATGATTACATACCACACGACCCCCTCATAGCAGGGTACCTTCGTAATTGTGGGTTTGGTGATTTGATCAAAATCAAATCATACTCTCTCGATATGAAGTTTATTCTAGCGTTGTTAGAACGCTGGAGACCGGAGACACATACATTTCACTTACCTTTTGGTGAGTGTACTGTGACTCTCCAAGACGTATACATGTTGCTCGGCCTACACATCGATGGTAAGGCCGTCAACGGCAAAGTTGGTGTCCCTGACCGACTTTGCGAAGATTTATTGGACGCCCTCTTTGTGTGGACGCACCTCAGGCGGAAAGCGATGGCCGCCCGAGGGGTCAGGGAATTAATTTAAAATACCTCAAGAACAATGCAACAGTATTGTCTTAACTGATGATAGCACCGAATATGACATAATAGTCAAGACACGGTGTTATATTATGATTTTGTTCGGTCACTTTTTATTTTCAAAGGGAACTGGAAATAGCGTCCATACCATGTATTTGCCATTATTACAAAATATAAACAAAGCGCGCGAATATATTTGGGGACCAGCTGTCCTCGCCCATCTGTATAACGCACTTTGCAAAACTTCCAAAAAAAAATTCCTGTACTTTTTATGGTTGTGCCTATCTCCTACAAGCATAGGGTTGGTTCATGATGCCAACGCTTGCTCCGATAAACCGGAATTCTTTTACATTCCCGTACGCCAACAAGTAAGTTTCTTTTCAAGATTATTTAACAACTAAATTTTCTTTGTAACTTAATAATTTGTGAGATGTGTTTTAGATGCTAACTTATATGGGTTTATTTTTTTTAGGTGGTTTGTTCCAGGGATGAATTATCAGAGATGTCCCAGACACTCTATAATTCAATACCACAACCTCATTGACCACCTTGGGCCAGATGATGTAAGTTATTTACCTTTAATTTGTCTAACTTATATGCATAAACTTGTCTATCTCTGTCTGTCTAAATGTATCCACCTTTATTGTAGTTTGTCTGGATGCCGTACGAGGGTCTCGACCACCAGCCCGACCACAATGATGTTGTTGTGTGGACATCAAGAACACCCATAATTAGGTTCACTGCGGTGGAGATGCACCAAAGTGACCGGGTTAAGCTACAATTTAGGGTGCATCAAGAAATTCCAGATGCTCCGGAAGAGTTGGGGCAGTGGCATCAGAAGCGGGTGGACGCACAATGGAGTGTCAGTCATTGGAAGGAGTTTATGAAGGATTTATGTAAACACTGGAAGAGAAGAAGGCAACACGTCTTAACCGACCGTATTATGCACGGGGCTAGGCCAAGTCTTCAATATATGACTTGGTTTAGGTCTGTCACGACATCTCAGCCTTTCCTGTCCCAACCAACCTATTTGGTTGACCCAAGGCAACGCGCTTCTTCATCAAACACACAACAACAGTCCAATGCCCAAAATCAGCCTTACGAAAATCCATACATGCCAACAAATACCCCCTATCAACAACAACATCCTCATCATGACCCGTACATGCCACCCACCCAGTCCCAGCCTCAACCACCGTATCATTATAGCCCTGATACGTCTTTTGAGCCTACCCCCTCCGCCTATAGCCCAAACAACTCATTTGACCCTACCCCTTCCAACTACCCTTCCAACTATCCACTATTTGACTACCACACCCCACAAAAACCAACACACCATTTCCAACCCAATTCCATGTAGCATTCGGATAACCATATCGTCCATACTCCACCCAACCTCCCCGACAATCCTTCGAAAACATGGGCATTAGGCTTGATTACGGAAGCGCCGTTGACAGTGAACCTCTCGATTATTGGGGTCAAATGATGCAAAATCTAGCTGATACGCCAGGGTCGTCCCAACAGAACCCTCCTCCACAACTCAACACACAACGACCAGACACACCACAGCAACCCCGTCGTAGACCTCGTCGCAATGCGCATCCCCCGCATTGTGGCACCGGTGGTCACTTGGATAGAGCCGGACATTAATTTTTTTTGTTGTAATTTTAATTATATTGTAAATTAATGTATTTTAATATTTTTGACTTGTCTAAATATTTTTAAGGTTATTTAAATTAATAGATATTAAATTATATCATATTGTAAATTAATGTATTTTAATATTTTTGACTTAAATTAATATATTAAATTATATTATATTGTAAATTAATATTTTCACTTGTCTAAATATTTTTAAGGTTATTGTAAATTAATATATTTCAATATTAATACTTAATTATATTGTAAATTAATGTATTTTAATAGGTAAAATATTTATTAAAATATTTATTAATATTTATTTAAATGACAAATGCGTAACTCTAGCAAGCAACTAACTATGTCGCCATATGCATGGCGACTCACTCAATTTTCTCTCTGTCGCCATTTGTTCTGGCGAATTCTTCTCTTTTCAAATTTCAGAATTAACATTGTCGCCATTTGTTTTAGCGACGGTCTTTGTTTCGTAAATTTTTTTGATTGGTTTATTTCTTTTTTAGTAAATGGTAACCAATACGTTACTTTAAAAAAAGAATCACATATAAACATAAAAGCTGACATTATATCAAATCCGGCAAAATACAATATGAGTTAATGTTTTATTTTCCTCATCAACATTGAACGAGACAAAGAATATTGATAAAAAACTCAAACCATATATTTATATGTTTGGTATAAAAATTTGAATCCAAATAACAATTTAAAAAATTGAATAATTTAATATAAACAATAATTGATTGAAAATGCTTTTGAATTGATGGGTTTTGGCTTATTGCATAGAGCTAATAATTGTTTTGTTGTTCTTTTAATTTTAATCTTTTTGTTATGAAACAAATAATGTCTCTTTCTCAACAAAGACTTCTCTGGTATTTAATATTATAAAAAATACTTATTTTAAATTTATTGGATAATTAATAAATTTGATCTATTTTATAGATTAAGTATATTAATTATTCCATAATTATGTTAAGAACTAAGGAGTATTATATATGTATATAACTATTTTAATAAAAAGTTGGTTAAAGGATTTAGATTAAATCGTATTTTTAATTTAAAAAACTCCACTTAACTATATATTAATTTATAGTCTATCTATATATATTTACATTTATAGTGTATTTATATATTTATATGTATGTGTTTCATGATTTATGTTGATATTTTATTGTTTACTAATATCAAACTAGGTTCTAACCACTATTTTAAGGTAAGACTTTTCAAATACTTATTAGATACTTTTTATATTTTAGCCTTTATTGACTCATAACTAATTTCAAACACACTAACCTTGAGATCTCAAAATCTAATTGCTAGATCCTCCTTAGTTCAAATGCAACCACATAAAGATATTCTTGCAGCATAACATAATCATGGTTACCAAACTAATAACAAAGAATCCAACACTACAACTTCTTCTCATCACTCTTACCTTAACCATAACAAAAACCTCTGCATCTGTCTTCAACAACGTTACCTGCACAAACACCAAAACATTCTCACCAAACACCACTTTCCATTCTAATCTCAACACCCTTCTCTCTTCCCTCTCTTCCAACGTAATCAACGATGTTAGATTCTTCAACACAACCTCAGGAAACGATTCAAACAAAGTCTATGGTCTCTACATGTGTCGTGGCGATGTTCCATTCGCTTTATGTAGAGAGTGTGTTGGTTTTGCAACGCTTAAAATTCCTTCTTCATGTCCTTCTTCAAAAGAAGCTGTTATCTGGTACAACGAGTGTTTGTTAAGATATTCCTATAGATTCATCTTCTCGAAAATGGAAACATGGCCTAGGTACAAGATCGAGATTCCAATGGGGGACCCTGGTTTGTTACAGAGTAGAGGCTTTTATGCTGGTTTGAGATCTGTTTTGAATGAACTTCCGAAACAAGCTGCGGTTTCTCTTTCTGGTTTTAACAAATATGCTGTTAAGCAAGAAAATGCTTCTACTAGTGTGACGCTTTATGGTCTTGCTCAGTGTACGCCGGACTTGTCGGCCGGGGATTGTAGACGGTGTGTCGAGGCTGCGGTGGAGGAGTTTCCTAAGGCTTGTTGTGGTGGTAGCATAGGTGAAACTGTTTTGTTTCCGAGTTGTTTTGTTAGGTATGAGACTTATCCGTTCTATCAGCATTCGGGAACTTCGGCATCAATATCAGCTTCAGATAATGGTTAGTTCTTTTTATGCTGATGTTTTGTGAATTGTGATGTGTCTGTTAAAAATTTTCTTAATATACTGTAATTAGCGCGCTTACCTCAGTGGCGCGCTAAAGTGTCATCTTTATGGCTTAGTTAACAATTATTTTACGAGTCTATACACAAAGTGGTAATAACAACTAAAAGCTCACACAAACGCGAGTGTCAGGGTTTGAACATTGGTGATGATGTTCAATCTAGTAATATCGGCTTCTGGCAGTTGAGTTAGGATTTGCAGAGAGTTAACAAATTTTAACAGTATGTGGAATTAATTTCAATATGATAATGTTTGACAGGAGGAAGAAATATTTCAACACATGTGATTGCTATCATTGTTGTTTTACTTGTCACTTTGGTGGCAATTTCTTGCATTGGCTGCTGTTTGTTATGGATAAAATCGAAGAAGAGACGCAAGGCCAGTGTCCGTGAAAATCGTAATGTCAATACTAATATTACTCAATAAACTTATATTATCTTTAACATTTGAGCTTAATCTATGAGGACTAATTTCAAAATGCTCTTTGTGAACTGTGATGTAGTTGTGCTTGAATTTAATAACTCGGAGTCACTAGAATTCGATTTCGCTACAATTGAAATAGCAACAAACATGTTTTGTGAAGATAGCAAAATAGGCAAAGGTGGATATGGACAAGTCTACAAGGTACTAATATGATTGTGATGATGAACAAGTCATTAATGCCTTTTTTTTTCTTTCATTTTTTCTGATTTTTCTAGTTTTAGGGAATTCTTCCTTGTGGACAAGAAATAGCTGTGAAGAGACTGTCCAAAACTTCAGGTCAAGGAGCAGAAGAGTTCAAAAATGAAGTCATGTTAATAGCCAAACTTCAACACAGAAATTTGGTGAGATTAATTGGATTTTGCCTTGAAGAACAAGAAAAGATACTTATCTATGAATATGTGCCTAACAAAAGTCTTGACCACTTCCTTTTTGGTATGATACTTCAAAATTTGTTTCAAACTTTAGTTTAAGTTTTGCATTCTACAATTCAATCTCATGTATTTGGATTTGATCACTATTTGTAGATTCCAAGAAGCAAAAACCATTAACTTGGCCCGAACGGTATAGTATCATAAAAGGGATTGCTCGAGGAATTCTTTATCTTCACGAAGATTCTCGTCTCAAGATTATACATCGTGATATTAAACCAAGCAATGTTCTTCTAGATAACAATATGATTCCCAAGATCTCTGATTTTGGCATGGCAAGGATGGTAGATATAGAGCAAATTCAAGGATACACAAATAGAGTTGTAGGCACATAGTGAGTCATAATTTTAACTTTCCAGTATTTATCTATCATCTTTAGATCGAGTTTTGGTCCCCCGTAGCGAAGAGTAGGGCCATTAGATTTGAATCCAAAACCAAGTGTGTTGAAATCTAATGACTTTAAATCGAGTGTGTTATATCATAACTACGATAGTAGAATATGTGATTTTGAGACTGATTTTTTCTCTCTTTTTGTCAGCGGTTACATGTCTCCAGAATATGCAATGCACGGACAATTTTCAGTGAAGTCCGATGTTTTTAGTTTTGGAGTTATGGTTCTCGAGATTATCAGCGGAAAAAAGAATTCTTGTACATTTGAATCATGTCGTATTGACGATCTCTTGAGTTATGTGAGTATCAATCAAATTCATGTTTATCTTTCTTTGAATTTTAACATGAGCTAGGAACCTATTGAAATCTACTAAATTAATGGTTGTAGGCTTGGAACCAATGGAAAGGTGAATCACCATTTGAGATGTTGGATCCAATAATGCAAGAATCTTATGCTCCAAATGAAGTAGAAAAGTGTGTGCAAATTGGTTTATTATGTGTCCAAGAAAACCCAGATGATAGGCCTACAATGGGAACAATAGTTTCATATCTTAATAATGTCTCAATCGATATGCCATTTCCTATGGAACCAGCATTTTTCATGCATGGCAGAACAAGAAGAAATTCAGCTGAACATCAATCATATTCAGGTCACTCCACCAACCATTCTTTCTCCTCAAGTGTACGTCCTCGTTAGATAGTCGAGTTTCATACATATATTTCATCTGAAGTTTCTAATACATTCACACTCTGCACACCTACGACTTGTATTATACCCCGGTGATTTCGGTGGTGTCTCATTCACATATGTGTCAATAGTATATATATAAGTAAAAAGAATATTATATTTTTATTTTGTTAATTTTGCTTTGCTATTGATAAAATATGTATTTTTATTTATATTAAATACGGTACTTTGAGTGAAATTTATATTACACTTAGTGTTGTTAAATTCTAATAAAAAATGGTTTCAAATGATTTAATTAGTCTAAGCATGAATATTTTGAGTTATAAAAAGCAAATGATAATTTTTTTAAAAAAATAAATAAGTATAAATCCTAGAAAAAAAGTTTGAGAGTTAAACTCAGTGAAAAATTATTAAGGTACTTCTCCAAAGTCAATATTATAAAAACAAAGTTATATTTGATGGGCTCAATTATGTTGGAAAACAAAGTTATATCTGATTTTATTGAACCTTCACTTGCTAACACTGCAACTGTGAATCCAGTTCTAATGTTGTGTTATAGAATACAAAGCAAGGCACCCTATTTATAGTTTTAGGTTTACACTAGCCCAAAACATAAAAGGCCCAAAATATTAAAATCTAATCTAATCATATCAAATCAAATCTATTTACACAATGAATTATATTTAACACACCACCTAATTCATTGTGTCTAAACTGTCTACATTCATCATGGCTCTTAGTCTTCTGAAGGCTTCGACCTGCACTCCCTTCGTCATGATATCTGCAATCTGATTCTCAGTTCTGCAGTGTTCCAACTTCATCTTCCCTTCTGCTACCTGCTCTCGAAGATAATGGAACCTCATTTTGATGTGCTTGCTTCGACCATGAGCTATTGGATTCTTCGCCAAGTTGATAGCTGACATGCTGTCTATCCTCATGATAATTGCTCCATGATTCTTCCCTGTGATTTCTTCGACCAAGTTCACCATCCAAGTTGCTTGACATGCACAAAGAGAAGTAGCTATATATTCTGCTTCGCATGATGACAATGCCACTACTGGTTCCTTTCTCGAATTCCAAGCAACTGGTGCACCACCTAACATAAACACATAACCAACTGTGGATTTTTGATCCTCAACATCACTACACCAACTGGAGTCTGTGTATCCCACTAACTTGCATTCTTTTCCTTCATCAGCTGCTGGAAACAAAATACCATAGTCGAGAGTTCCTTTCAGATACCTCAGTATCCTCTTTGTCGCTGCTAGGTGTGATACCTTTGGCTTCTGCATGAATCTACTTACCATACCAACACTGTATGCTAAGTCAGGCCTTGTGTGACAAAGGTATCTAAGTGACCCAATAAGTCTTCTATATTGGGTTGGGTCGACATCAACTTCATCTGAATCCTTCGACAGTTGCAATCTGGGCTCAGCTGGAGTCGAAGTTTGGTTGCAATCTTGCATCTCAAATCTCTTGAGTATTTCGCCTGCATATCTTCTTTGATTCATCATCAAACCTCTACTTGTCTTGTAGAATTCGATGCCAAGGAAATATGAGAGATTTCCCAAGTCTGACATTTCAAACTCCTCACTCAGGTCATGTTTGAAATCTTCGATCTCCTTCTTGCAACTCCCTGTTATCAATAAATCATCAACATAGAGACATAATATAAGCAATTCGCCATTGCTTCTTCTTACATATACTCCATGCTCAGTTGTACACTTCACAAATTCCTTTTCCCTTAAGAAGCTGTCGATTTTCTTATTCCAAGCTCTTGGAGCTTGCTTAAGTCCATACAGGGCTTTATGAAGCATGTACACCTTTCTTTCTTCGCCTTGTTTCACAAACCCAGCTGGTTGTGCAACATAAACTCCTTCGTCTAAGGGGCCATTAAGGAATGCACACTTCACGTCCATCTGACATGTGTGCCAGTTGTTCATATTTGCTAGACCAACAACCAACCTGATTGTTTCGATTCTAGCAACAGGTGCGAATACTTCATCGAAGTCGATTCCTTCCTTCTGAAGAAATCCTTTTGCCACAAGTCTCGCCTTGTGTCGAGTTACTTCTCTTTTAGGATTTACCTTTACCTTGTAAACCCACTTCACATCAATTGCCTTCTTGCCTTGCGGCAATTCGACAAGTGACTAGGTATCATTGACTTCGATGGACTCCAACTCTTCAATCATTGCTTTCATCCACTTCGAATCTTTCAATGTCTCAACTGCATTGACTGGTTCGACATCTGCGTAGAAAGCATAATGTACCAACTCACCCTCTTCATCGACTACATCATCTGATGTAATTACACATTCTTGCAACCTTGCAGGCATGTGTCTTGTTCGTCGAGGTCTGCTTGAACCTGCTTCATCTGCAACTGGTTCTAGTCGAGCTTCTATTTCGACTTCAGTGGCTGGTTCTTCACAAGAGATTCTCACTAAATCCTTCTTGGCATTCTCAGTCTAATCCCATTCTTTAAGCTCATCTATGATCATGTCCCTGCTGATCACTACCTGCTTATTCATCCGGTCGAACAGCTTGTACCCTCCTGTCGAATGATACCCTATCAAGATCATCTGATTCGACTTATCATCAAGCTTCCTTCTCAACTGATCTGGCACATGTCTATGTGCTATAGATCCAAACACCTTCAAGTGACTGAGACTAGGCTTGACACCAGACCAACATTCTTCTGGTGTGATTCCTTCAAGCTTCTTCGTCGGACATCTGTTCAATATATATGTTGCTGTCGAAACTGCTTCTCCCCATAATTCTTTAGGTAGATGCTTTCCATTCAACATACTTCTCACCATATTCATGATGGTTCTGTTCTTGCATTCTGCAATCCCATTTTGTCGTGGAGTGTAAGGTGGAACCACCTCATGCACAATCCCTTCTTTTACACATAGTGTATCGAACTCTTTCAACACATACTCTCCACCACCATCAGTCCTCAGAATTTTCAGCTTTCGACCACTCTGTCTTTCGACCATGGACTTGAATCTGGAAAATACCTCAATCACATCACTTTTCTTCTTGATGAGGTAAGTCCACAGCTTTCGACTGTAATCATCTATAAACGTGACAAAGTATCTATTGCCACCAATCGAATCCACCTGGATTGGACCACATACATCAGAGTATATGACTTCAAGTATTGCCTTCGACTTCCTTCCTGCATCCTTGCTGAAGCTATTCTTGTGTTGTTTCGACTGAACACACTCTTCACAGACTTCACTTGGAATGTCGATTTCTGGTAATCCTGAAACCATATTTCTTCTCTTCAGTTCTCTGATGTCTTTAAAGTTCAGATGACCTAGTCGAAAATGCCATAACCACTCATCTCTGCTGGCTGCAGTTGCTAGACATCTGTGCTCCATCACATTGAGTCCAATCTTGAAGGTCCTATTCTGAGACATTGGAGCCTTCAAGATTAATCTACCACTTGCGTCGAGAACTCTCATCATCTTGTCTTCGACAACTACCTTGTAGTTCTTTTCGACAAGTTGCCCTATGCTGAGCAAATTACTCTTCATGTCTGGTATGTACAACACATTGGAAATTGTTGACCTTTTGCCATCTTTCCTCATAATCAGAACATCACCAACACCTTCGGCTGCTAGAGTGTTGTCATTTGCAAACTTCACGGTGTTCTTCGACGAGGGCTTCATGTTGACAAACCAATCTTTCCTTCTAGTCATGTGTGATGAGCATCCTGAGTCTAGGTACCACTGATGTTGGAATCTTTCTTCATCTTTTGTTGTGACCATTAGCAATGTTTCTTCTTCTTCATGTTTCGCCAGCTTTGCATCAGTCTCTTGATTTCTCTTCCTTTCTGGACAATCACTAGCATAATGACCATACTTCTGGCAATTGAAACATTGAATGTGGCTTTTGTCTGGCTTTCGACCGCCACCTCTTCCTTTACCTGCAGCACCACCTCTTTGGTTGCCTTGATTCCAAGGTTTCTTCTGATTCGACTGGTTTCCTCCTTTGTTTCCATTCCAACTACCTTTGCCTTTTCTTTCCTTTTCTGACTGCGCCTGCAAAGCCATGTCTTTCGACTTTCCTGCAGCTCTCTCAACCATCCTCTGTTCATGAGACTCAAGAGTCCCTTGAAGCTCTTCCTTCGTCAACACTAATAGCTTTTTCGACTCTTCTATGGCAACTACCACGTGGTCGAATTTTGGAGCCAACGATCTCAAAATCTTTGAGACAACTGCTTTCGTCGTTAGCGCTTCTCCACATACTTTGATTTGATTCACCAACTTCGTAACTCTAGTGAAGAAATCTGTAATGCTTTCGTTGTCTTCCATCTGAAGCAACTCATAGGTTCTCTTGTGAGTTTGTAACCTCACCTCTTTCACCTTCTCTGCGCCTCCAAACGACTTTCCAAGAATCTCCCATGCTTCTTTTGCTGAATCAACATCACTAACCTTTTCAAAGTTATCAGGATCGACACACTGATGAATTATAAAGAGTATTTTATAATCCTTCTTCTTCAATTCTTTGTGCGCAGCCTTTTCCGCCTCCGTTGCGTTCTCCCCAAGCGATGTTACTCCATCTTTCACAAGATCCCAAAGATCTTGATAATAGAAGACCACCTTAATCTGCTTGCACCAATTCTCATAATTGTCTTTCTTGAGAATTGACAGGGTCGCCGGAAAGTTTCCGTTCGGATAGTTCATCGCCATCACTATCTTCCTTCCTTGAATCTCTCAACCAGGCTCTGATACCAGATGTTGGAAATTCACCTCACACCCTATGAAGAATTCCCTTCAATCTTGATCTCAAGATTGATGAACAAACCCACAATATGATAGTAATGGTAATAACAAGTAATTATCAAGAACAACAAAAGAAAAGAAGAATAACAAACAAGAAAGAGAAGAATGAGAGAAGAAAATATTGAGTTACCCACAACTGTGAGATTTCTGATTTTATTGAACCTTCACTTGCTAACACTGCAACTGTGAATTCAGTTCTAATGTTGTGTTATAGAATATAAAACAAGACACCCTATTTATAGTTTTAGGTTTACACTAGCCCAAAACATAAAATGTCCAAAATATTAAAATCAAATCTAATCATATCAAATCAAATTTGTTTACACAATGAATTATATTTAACAAATTATGAGAAAACTTCAAATAATTTTTACAATATTTAACTTATTATTCTAAAAGTGTCGTTAACTAATGTTTTCATAAAAATAAATAACATGAAGAGAAAATTTAATTTTAGAATATATATATATATATATATATATATATATATATATATATATATATATATATATATATATATATATATATATATATATATATATATATATATATATATATATATATATATATATATATATATATATATTTATAACATCAATAAATTTAACTTATATTAACTAATTTTCTAAATTAGCGAGTAATGAACTAATATTACTTATATATGAGTTCAGATGGAGTATGAACTAAATCATCATACATTAACTTCTAAATGTGTAGTTAAGATTTAATTAAAATTCAATAATTTTCAGGTATTTTAATTTGTATCTATTGTAAGGTATTAGCACTTTATTTATGCAATGAAACTCATAAAATATGTGTTAACTAATTGAAACAATTTGTGAAATCAATTTTAATTAAGTTTTAAACTGAAATTGATTATTAATTATTTATTTATTTAAATTTCAGAATTTACACTAAAACAATATTGGAATGAGCTGATGGAGTAGAGACAAACTGTCCAATATGCGTTGAGGAATGCAAGGCAGTCAATAGCTTCATCTAACACCAGAAGAAGCCCAAAAGGCCTGAACCCCATGGTTGAGAGAGAGAGAAAACCACATGGACTTAAAAAATGTATGCATCTAGTAGCAACTTTTTTTTTTTTTTTAAAATAAGAAGTGCACTTTAGTGAATTTTTCACCCAACTAATCATGTTTTCACACCATATATCCCAAACTACCCAACATTTCAACATATATTCCAAATTAACCAACTTTTACGTTTTTTTTATAAAAATAACAAGGGGGCGCCATTGGCCTTGGCTCCTCCCTTATAAATTATAGGGGGGCGCCATCCAAGTTGGAGACACCCTATAATTTATAAAGGGGGCGCCATCCCCTTTGGCTCCTCCCTTAAATCCCCTTTGGCATTCTGCATGCATGCAAATCACTTTTTTCGTACACTTGTCACGGGGGAGCCAACCCCTATGGCTCCCCCTTTGAATATTAATGAAGGGGAGCCAACCCCCATGGCGCCCCCCTTAAAAATTAAGGAAGGGGAGTCAACCCCTATGGCGCCCCCCTATAATTTATAAGGGAGGAGGCAAAGGGGATGGCGCCCCCTTGTAATTTAAAAAAAAAACCCAAAGTTGGTTAGATTGGTAAATATAATGAAAAGATGGGTATAATGAAAATTAGGGGGGAAATCATGGTTATTGGGGTGAAAATTTCCACTTTAGTAACAATTTTTTATAAAAGAATTAGGTTGATTGGGCCGATCCCGACTTTTTAGAGGTTCTGGACAAATAAAAAAATTAAATTATAATAAAATATTGAATAACTAATCTTGATTTTTTTTTTTGAGTTTTATTTTTCTCTTTTATTTCAGAGGTGGCGGTGGAAGTGCGATGGCTGGTGCGTGGGAGAAAAAAGTTTGACAATGAAGAGTTAAAAGGAAGATAGATACGTGAAAAATGTGAAAATGTATAGATAAAAAAGATGTGAATTTTATATTGGCATCGATGCAATCAAATTAAATTCAATGTGTTGAGTTAGAAAGTTACACCAAAATAATTATTGTAGATCCACTTCCACAAATAATAATGAATTATATTTAATCATATAAATTTGATAATAAAATTCGTCACAATCACACAAATGACTTTGCTAATTAAGTTTCTCCATTAATTTGACATGTTTATCAAATTTCTCTAATATTTGTCTCTCTATTAATTTATCCAAACACTAGATATATGAAGTACACATGACTAGGATGATACCCCTTCATTCTTTTCAATGGTCATCTTAAACAAATCCGAGTCATTGTTTGATTATTTTTTTTAAATAGCTTACAATATAGAAATTTTTATCCAAATAACCCACATTTAAAAAAAAAAAATCTCAAAATAATCCATTTTTTAGATTATTTTCCAAAGTACCCCACTTTGTGGGTGAGATTGAATGTTAGCGTCAACTCAATTGACGACTTCTTTGTAGCCTTAAGAGATGACACCAATTGGATTGGAGACACCATATGGTGTTATCAATTCAATTGGCGACATTGTGTTAAATTTAAAGGATGTCGCAGATTGTAAATTAACTAATATGAAATTATTAACTTACTTTTGTGCATACGGGAATGAGAAGCTGTTTTGGTTGACGAGCGCTATATATGGAAATCTAGACCAACCTCATGATTGGTGTTGTGATTGACGGGCGCTAGATATGGAAATCTAAACCAACCTCATGATTGGAGTAAAACGGCGCATCCAAAAAATATAGATGTGTTTTTCGTTGTGTTTTTACATAAAGAGTTATACAAATAAGACAAACAAATGAAACCCCAACTATATTCTCTATAAAATATCAAAAAGAAACATTACCAACATATCATGACATTATAATACACAAACATATCAATAATTGAAACATTGTCTTTCTTTTCAAAGCATTTGGATTCTAAGTTGTTACTTTGCATCTTCTTGAGGTATGTCCCATTTTATCACACTAGGTACATTTGTAGGTCACTCCAACTCTTCTTAGTCTTGATCATATACTGTTGTTTGTATTAAATATAATTCATAGTGTAAACAGATTTGATTTGATATGATTAGATTTGATTTGAATATTTTGGGCCTTTTATGTTTTGGGCTTTTGTAAACCTAAAACTATAAATAAGGTGCCTTGCTTTGTATTCAAACATAACATTGAACAGATTTCATAGTTGCAGTTTTAGCAAGTGAAAGTTCTATAAGCAATCAGAAATCCCACAGTTTGTGGGTAACAATTTTCTCCAAATATTTCTTCTCTCATTCTTCTCTTTCTTGTTTGTTATTCTTCTTCTCTTTTGTTGTTCTTGATAATTACTTGCTATTACCATTACTATCATATTGTGGGTTTGTTCATCAATCTTGAGATCAAGATTGAAGGGAATTCTTCATAGGGTGAAAGAGGTGAATTTCCAACATCTAGTATCTAGAGCTCCGGTTGAGAGATTCAAGGAAGGAAGATAGTGATGACGATGAACTATCCGAACGACAACTTTCCGGCGACCCTGCCAATTCTCAAGAAAGACAATTATGAGAATTGGTGCAAGCAGATTAAGGTGATTTTATGTTATAAAGATCTTTGGGATCTTGTGAAGGACGGAGTAACATCGCTTGGGGAGAACGCAACAGAGGCGGAAAAGGCTGCGCACAAAGAATTGAAGAAGAAGGATTATAAATCACTCTTTATAATTCATTAGTGTGTTGATCCTGATAACTTTGAAAAGGTTAGTGATGTTGATTCAGCAAAAGAAGCATGAGAGATTCTTGAAAGGTCGTTTGGAGGCGCAGAGAAGGTGAAAGAGGTGAGGTTACAAACTCACAAGAGAACCTATGAGTTGCTTCAGATGGAAGACAACGAAAGCATTACAGATTTCTTCACCAGAGTTACAAAGTTGGTGAATCAAATCAAAGTCAGTGGAGAAGCACTGACGATGAAAGCAGTTGTCTCAAAAATCTGGAGATCGTTGGCTCCAAAATTCGACCACGTGGTAGTTTCCATAGAAGAGTCGAAAAATCTATTAGTGTTGACGAAGGAAGAGCTTCAAGGGACTCTTGAGTCTCATGAACAGAGAATGACTGAGAGAGCTGCAGGAAAGTCGAAAGATATGGATTTACAGGCGCAGTCAGAAAAGGAAAGAAAAGGCAAAGGTAGCTCGAATGGAAATAAAGGAGGAAACCAGTCGAATCAGAAGAAACCTTGGAACCAAGGAAACCAAAGAGGTGGTGCTGCAGGTAAAGGAAGAGGTGGTGGTCGAAAGACAGACAAAAGCCACATTCAATATTTCAATTGCCAGAAGTATGGTCATTATGTTAGTGATTGTCCAGAAAGGAAGAGAAATCAAGAGACTGATGCAAAGCTGGCGAAACATGAAGAAGAAGAAACGTTGCTAATGGTCACAAAAAAAGATGAAAAAAGATTCCAAAATCAGTGGTACTTGGACTCAGGATGCTCATCACATATGACTGGAAGGAAAGATTGGTTTGTCAACATGAAACCCTCGTCGAAGAACACAGTGAAGTTGGCAAATGACAACACTCTAGTAGCCGAAGGTGTTGGTGATGTTCTGATTATAAGGAAAGATGGCAAAAGGTTAACAATTTCCAATGTGTTGTATATACCAGGCATGAAGAGTAATTTGCTCAGTATAGGGCAGCTTGTCGAAAAGAACTACAAGGTAGTTGTCAAAGACAAGATGATGAGAGTTCTCGACGCAGGTGGTAGATTAATCTTGAAGGCTCCAATGTCTCAGAATAGGACCTTCAAGATTGGACTCAATGTGATGGAGCACAGATGTCTAGCAACTGCAGCCAGCAGAGATGAGTGGTTATGGCATTTTCGACTAGGTCATCTCAACTTTAATGACATCAGAGAACTGAAGAGAAGAAACCTGGTTTCAGGATTACCAGAAATAGACATTCCAAGTGAAGTCTGTGAGGAGTGTGTTCAGTCGAAACAACACAAGAATGGCTTCAGCAAGGATGCAGGAAGGAAGTCAAAGGCAATACTTGAAGTCATATACTCTGATGCATGTGGTCCAATCCAGGTGGATTCGAGTGGTGGCAATAGATAATTTGTCATGTTTATAGATGATTACAGTCGAAAGCTATAGATTTACCTCATCAAGAAGAAAAGTGATATGATTGAGGTATTTTTCAGATTCAAGTCCATGGTCGAAAGACAGAGTGGCCGAAAGCTGAATATTCTGAGTACTGATGGTGGTGGAGAGTATGTGTCGAAAGAGTTCGATACACTATGTGTAAAAGAAGGGATTGTGCATGAGGTGGTGCCACCTTACACTCCACAGCAAAATGGGATTGCAGAACGCAAGAACAGAACCAACATGAATATGGTGAGAAGTATGTTGAATGGAAAGCATCTACCTAAAGAATTATGGGGAGAAGTAGTTTCGACAACAACATATATATTGAACAGATGTTCGACGAAGAATCTTGAAGGAATCACACCAGAAGAATGTTGGTCTGGTGTCAAGCCTAGTCTCAGTCACTTGAAGGTGTTTGGATCTATAACACATAGACATGTGCCAGATCAGTTGAGAAGGAAGCTTGATGATAAATCGAATCAGATGATCTTGATAGGATATCATTCGACAGGAGGTTATAAGCTGTTCGACACAGTGAATAAGTAGGTGGTAATCAGCAGGGACGTGATCATAGATGAGCTTAAAGAATGAGATTGGACTGAGAATGCCAAGAAGGATTCAGTGAGAATCTCTTGCGAAGAACCAGCCACTGAAGTCAAAATAGAAGTTCGACAAGAACCAGTTTCAGATGAAACAGGTTCAAGCAGACCTCGACGAACAAGACACATGCCTGCAAGGCTGCAAGAATGTGTAATTACATCAGATGATGTAGTCGATGAAGAGGGTGAGTTGGTACATTATGTTTTCTACGCAGATGTCGAACCAGTCAATGCAGCTGAGGCATTGAAAGATTCGAAGT